GATTTTTTACTGCATCAAATCAATACTATAAATAAAACAAATAAATGTGAACTTACTGCCACCGCATTTACACTTTCCATTGATCTTGGAACGAGTGGATGATTGTATTTCAGAAGAACGGGAGTAGTCATTAAATGAGCTGAAGTTCAGTCAATTTTAAGTTGAATAAAGGAAAAGGGAAAAAAGGTTACACAAAATACAACTTACCAATGGCAATTTTGTCATTATATTGTGGCAGTTCAGAAAGCATAACGTAAAACACTGAAGATCAATTAATTTTATGTTAAATGAAGGTAAATGAAAGAAATATTATTTAAAATGCAACTTTGTACCTGTAACACCCTGGGAATGACCCACATACGAGAGTTTTGTTTTATTCGTTTGTTCCAAAATATAATCAATCATTGCGGGTATATCAAAAACACCAATCTCGTGCCAGCTAAAATTCCAAAATGTTGGATCATTTGGATGCTTAGTTATATGACGTCTGGAAAATGTGTTGCCTCTTGCATTTCCTATTGGAAAATATTAATAAAACAATACCTTTTTTCCATTATAAGTCTCTAATTATTTAAAATAACACTTGTAAATAGAATATTCAATATCACATCGGTTTTTTGAACATTAAATACGTTATTTTGGTGAGTCAATTTTACAAACCAATCCAAACATCGAATCCTAAATAAAAAGAATTAAAAAACATTTTATACATTTATAACAATTGAAAATTGTGTTTGGACTTGGACAGTCCACTTGTACCTGCGTCAGCAAACTTATAAGCAGATGAGATGTTGCGTCCCAGTGCTAAAAATACTGGCGCCGCACTAGTTAATCCTACATTTTTTATAATTAGAAAAAAGAAATTCGTTCACACAATCATAATAGTGTCAAACAAGCCCACGACAGCCCAATATTTTTTTTCACTTCTTAAGCGATATCGATCGTACCGTGCATTAGTAAAATAACTTTTTGATTGTCTCGTCTTGCATTCACGTTGGGGATTCGATACACACTTAGAATATAACCGTCTTTTGTTTGTACTGTATGTTTTTCTGCTGGATAATTCTCAGCTTGAATCATATCCATCTGTGGCGAAAAACCAAAAAATGAACACTATCCATAATGCAGAATGTACCATATACTTACAACAGGATCAGCATGGCTGAATGATATCGAAATTAATATTAGAACAAACAGATACATTTTGTTTCGTTTCAAACAGTATTTTACACGATCTTAACACATTTATTGATACATTGTCTTGCCTCTACGTTTTGTATTCAAATGAAGCAAATTGTTTATAAGTCAATCGGTTTTATACGTAAAATGTCTTCTAGTGAGGATAACTAATTGTTGCTTGGTGCAGAATTGTTAATTATAGCTCATCATAATCATTTCATTTGCACTTCCATTAAAAACAACATTAATGAGTCAAATAATAGACGTATTCTTCTGATTTCCTCGGGCGATCACTGCAAAACGCCCGCATTTTAATAGATGGAAAATTATTCAGCTATCACGATATTTTATTATTTATTATGATCCAGGGGAAGATGAGGTGTTACAATCTGTACTTAGTTTTATTTTAAATTTGCTTGATTGTACACTTGGAATCGTGAATCGTTTATTGTATTCTAATAGCTTCTAATAAGTTTTAATTTCTATTTCGTGCCCTCCCCCTAGTCGATGTTTCTGCTTTTTATCGTGATAGAATTTTGAACAGTTTTTCAATGAAAAGGCGCATATAAATATCAACGCCGCATTTATAAAAAGATATCACGAAATATTGATAAGAAGTGCGTCTAATTATTAAATCTGTGGTCCGGCGAAGTTTAAAATGTGAAAAATTTCTTCAAAAATGACTTCACTAAATGCATATGTTGGAAACGATGAGTTTGTTTGAAAATGAATCTTCTGCATGACAAACTAGATGCTTTCCGAATGAAAACCAATTAACACGCAAAATAAAATGCAAATTCATGACTAGACGAGACAAAATGACTTTTATCATAAAAATTTCATGTTTAGCAGAAGCGAATTTCAGAGTATTGCATGATAGAGTTAATTTTAAGCTTTTTTCGAATAAGAAATATCGCGTGATTGTGAAGCATCATTGTCTAATTAAAATAAGAACCTCCAAACAGTTATAAAGTGTTCAAATTTCATTTTGCAAATATCATAATTTTTAAATTATCACTTTGTTTGATATTTAAACCGTGAAATGTTTCATAATTTTGTAGCTTAAGCATGACTGTGGAGATTATGGTCACAAAGGCGCAGAATCCATTCAATTACAAGTACTCTTTAACAATTATTGAATTTCCTTCTTCGGGTCAAAAGATAAACGACAACCGGAAACTGTAGTCTCGGAATAGAAAAAAAGCATATTGTAATACTAACGAAATTATCTCATTTGGCGTCAAACCGAATGAATATTGCAAGTATAATATCAGTTCAATTTTTTATAAGAAATCAAGAGATTATTCCGAAATAGAATGGAAAATGTTTGGGAAAAAGTTCAAAAGAGCAATGCAAAAGTTTCATGTATACACAATTGGTGGAGGTGTTCAACCAGCTAGATTCGAATAAAACACGATAGGGATATTCGATTATTTATATTATATAATTCATAAGTATCGATTTAAGAATAGTACAATAAACTCGTTGACAATAAACTTTCCGAGATAGTAGATCACATGTTTTTTTTATTTTATTTTAATATATATTGTATTTTGTTAGTTAAGTGGTTATTGCACTCGAAGTCCTAATAGCCCAATGAAAATAGCCAGTCTTTGTAAAATGGTTAACGGCAATTATGAATATCAACCTATAAATAATTGAATCTCAAAGCAAAAATTGAATATGAATGAAATATTACATAAGTTAAAAAACATGTATTCACCTGCTTCAATATTTATTTATTTTCTGAAACAAATCAAATTTAAAATGTACTTGATAGTGAAAAAAAAATTCCGTAAAATAACAAACATTCTTAATATCCAGCGCCAACTTGAACTCGATGTTGGTCGATTGTGGAATCCGTTGACAACATAAGTTGCAATATGTTCACCATATACACATACATTGGACATACGTGCACGTGCAGCATGGTATTACAAATATACATGAAATACGTTACAACAACAAAGCAATGGAAACAAAAACAAAGACCGATTACTTCGGTTTGTTGCATAAGTTATGTAAGTCGCATGCATTGTAATCTCAAGTAGTACACAGACACATATGCTACGCCGAAAATATTATGACCCCAAGTACATTTTTAATCGTTTCGAATTTACACCAAAAATAGATGCGATAAGATAATATAAAAAAGTTCCCATTAAAAATACAAATGAAGTAAAAACAATAAAAATTAATGGTTTTAGTAAACATCCAACATGTTTAGCGCCTTTATGTCACATGTTTGACCCAGTGCAAATATGTTTCTAGTGATTGGTCACGGAATCTATCAGACAATAACTTTGCCAAAAAAAATTAAACCACGGACTTTCTTTTTATTAACGAGTTTATTAAAAATTGTCTAAATGATTCAACAGATGTTTCAATTTATGAATAGCAATGAAAGACAATTTTGAAAAAGCTTTATAGAATACGTTTCAAATTTCAATTTAAAAAAATTAATTTTACACTTGAACATCACTTTCATTAACTTATTTATGGTCGGCCATTTCTTTGAGTTTGCCGAAAGTTAGTTGTAGAACTTCTGCAGCGTTCAATGTAATATTATAATCCCGTTCCAATGCTTGTCTAATTTCGGCACTTATTAATGAGTCCATGCCCAAAGTGGAAAATGTTGTTTGATCTGATACACTTTTCAAATCTTTTATTTCCAAGATGTTGGCAACACAATCGACCAACGACAAATTTCCACTTTCATTTTTATTCTTTCCAGAGATAACCAATGAGGAAAGTACAGCATGAGGTTGGCGCATAAATATATCCAAGGTTTTTAAAACCGAGACCATACGCTGAGGAATGGTGCCTATGATTACAGCATCATTATCGCCCGTATTTTGGATGAACATCCCAGTATCACCGACAGCACCCCACTGGATGGCCTTTCCAGGTAATCCGGCCATTTGACGACTTTCACAAATACGATCCATACCAGAATTGGCCAACCCATAATTTGTTTGTCCATCAATACCACGTCCACTTGATATCGTCGAAAAGCAAACAAAATAATCCAATTTGGGACATAGTTTGCGTGAAACAGCATCCAAACATTTGGTTCCATTTACTTTGGGCATACCAACTGCTTTGAAATCATCTTCTGTTTGCTTTTCAAACAAGTTAACACGCAAAATACCAGCAAGATTGAAAATACCACCAATTTGTCCCAATTTAGTGGCTGCATTGAGTAAATTTTGTGCACCCGCCAATGTTGTCACATCATTTGTATCAACTAAAACGTTAACACCCTTTTCGGTCCAACGACGTATCATTAATGATTGATAACCACTTTTAACGCCGCTACGTGATGTTACTACGAATTTTGATGCACCACGTGCTATCATCCAATTGACTAATTCTAAGCCGATGCCGCCCAAACCACCAACAATGACATAGGTTTTATCACTATAGAAATACGTACGTGGAATTGCAGCAATTAGTTTTGAGGTTGGCTTTTGAACTTCGCGTGATTCTTCATCGCGCACTTTCACCACAACTTTTCCAATGTGTTTACCACTGGCCATAAAACGGAACGCTTGTTCCACTTGATTTTCATTGAAAATGGTTGTTGGCAGTGGACGAACGGCGCCATTTTTAATACCTTCAGCAACCAAAGTGACAACTAACTCCTTTTCTTTGTCATCACTAGCCATAATTCTATCCAATAAAATACCATGAAATGATGTGTTCTTCAAGAACACAGACATTCCTAGCGGCGAATTGTTGTGCATATCAACTTTTCCGATTTCCAAGAAACGTCCATCGAGACCCAAGCACCGTATTGAAGCTTGCAGCATATTGTCGGCAAGTGAATTTAAAACCAAGTCAACTCCCTTCCCTTTGGTGGCACGCATGATAAATTGTTCGAATGATGTGTCACGCGAGTTACCAATGTGAGCATCACTCAATTGAGGGAAGGTCTTTTTCAAGAATTCACGCTTCTCTTTGCTACCAACTGTTGTGTAAACGGTCAATCCATGATGTAGAGCAACATTGATTGCTGCTTGTCCCACTCCACCGCTACCAGCATGAATTAAAATCGATTCGCCCTTTTTCATTTGACCGCGGACGACCAAAGCATAATAGACCGTTGAATAAACACACGGAACAGTTGACGCTTCTTCCATGCTCCAGTTGTCGGGAATTTCCCACATCATATTTCGTTGAGCAACACAAGTTGTTGCAAGTGCTTTTGCTTGAACCATGGCCATTATACCTGATATTGGAAACATGTGTATCTCATTATTAATATATATGTTATTATTTATTTTTATTGGTGAAAATGAAAAAAATCTTACGTTTTCCGTTTGAGTCACGTCCAGCAAATTCCATGCCCAATACACAATCCTGAGTCGGTAAATCACCTGGCAGGGCATCGGCCGCCAATCTTCCTGTGCTCAACATAACGTCACGGAAATTGATTGGTGCATAGTAAACGGAGCACAATTCATTTTTTTTATCTAACGGATCAATCATTTGATGTGTCAATGGGCTTTCAATCCATGATAAGCTTGATAAATCTCCCTTGATCAAAGCATTCACGTAAGCATGCTCGACGGGGACTTTCGAAACTTCATCCAATTTCAAATGTCTGAATGTTCCCCAACCGCCATTCTTATACACATTGATGATCAAATCTTTGCTCAATTGATTGGCATACATTTTGCTGGTGAATGAAAACTGCTCAACCTTTGCATCTTGTACGAATATCAAACGAGCAAATTTTCCACCGTTTTCATATTTGAGGCAGTTCATAAAACCAACGGCGCCCAATAGTTCTTCACCGTGTCCAACAATGTACACATAAGTGTTATCTCTTTCAGCATTCGCCAAAGCTGTTTGCAATTGTCCAAGGTATGAGTAATTCTTTTCGGTGATCTTGATGACGGTCTTGTTTCGAGTGGCCAAATCGACGATTGGACGCAATAAAATAAAGTATTTGTCGTTAGCACGTTGAACCGAGATAATTGCTAAATTTAAACTGTTGAATAATTTGTTTGCAGTGGCCTCGTCATAACCGACAACATTTTCTTCGAGCAAAATGAAACCACCTTCACGGATTGATGATTTAAGATTATCAATAACAGTTTTAGCGTTAGAACGTGGAACAACATCGTAAGCAATGACTAGATGACAGTTTGATTCAACTGGACCAGTGCTTGGATCTTTGAAAACAACACGAATGCCCGATTCTCCGACGGCTTGTATATACGGTTCAGTTGGTTGATTGGTTACAATAATGACCTCACTACTAAACCTTGGCTCAGATTGCATGATGGTTTGAATGGTTTGTGAAAGGGAATTTTCGGCTGTTTTATTTTCAATAACTTCAGCCACTTTAATTCTCAATGCACCGCCACTGTTTTCAGCTGCCACACGAGTTGAAACAGAAATGGCATGGAAACGTGCACGTTCGGCGTTCTTTGATAAATCTTCATTTGCATTTTGGAATGGTACATACATATATTGTTCTAAGATTGGTGATTGTGTGCCTGGACGTCGAGGTGCCAATGAAGCCTTCAATCCGCGCAATTCAACGCCGCCCGATTTAACGACATTGAGATCTTTGTACATATAAACTGGAACATCAGCTTTGTTTTGTTTGAAATGTTCGACCATTTCCAAGTGTTTGCTTGGATTAAAAACAGCACGTTCTATACGTGTTGGCAAGTAAATTTCACGGTCATTTTTGCCCATAATAATAAATTGCAACATGGTATCGATGAAAGTGACCCAATTGTTTTGCCATTGCAATTTACCAGTAGTGGCTTTCGAATTGGATTCCTTGATGCCACAGAATTCACCACTATAATCGTAACCACGAATATGCAACTCCTTGTAGACATCGTTGAGTTTCAATGTCAGACCTGATTTGTCTTGTTCAAGTGGCTCCAATGGCAATTCCTCGGATTCAATATCTTCGGGTACATAGATTTTACCAGATACAGCCAATGAACCTCCTTCACAAATTTCAAAACGATTGGTTCCATCGAAGAATTTGATGCCGAGTTTGACGGAGCCGTCCTTTCGCAAAATGGTAGCACGGTGGAAAACAACATCTTCGAAAACAACTGGTGTCTGTTCGAACATGCTGTTCTTTATTTTTGCGAATGTACGCCACGCCAATGTCATATAACCAGTAGCTGGGAACAAAATACGACCATCTATTGCATGACCAGCCAAATATGTGTCTTCGTCTTTGGAAAGGTTTACCTCAATAATTGTTTCACCGGAGGTTACTGAGAAAAGAGACATTTTCAAATGATCAACTTCTTTTATTTTGTCAATTTTCTTGTGGATTTTTTTTTAATTCTGAACTTACGATTTCCGAGTTTTGGAACAATAAAGCGCTGTGAGTGATCCCATCCAACTGTCGAATTTAACATAGCTGTTCCACGACCAACTGGGTATGAAAGAGGGGCATACAATTTCAAGACCTGTGGTTGAGCACCAGCGGCATATAATCTGAATTAAATAAAAAAGAATCATCATAAAATATGTTTGTTTGATTTTTTTTATCCCTTAAATCTCTACAGAAAAAAAATACTATATATTTTCACATCTATGGAATCAACCTACTTTCCGATGTTTTGCAAGAAGAAACAAAGATTATTTTCGTGTCCGCTTTTGATCAAGCTCAACTTGATGGTTTCGCTGTCCAATGATCTCCTCAAAATGGCTTGCAATAAACCAGTTGGGGCTATTTCGATGCAGATAGCATTTTTTGGAATCTTTTGAAGGGCTTCGTGGAACAAAACTGGAGACAAAAAGTTGTTTACGTGATAGTCCGATGAGCTTTTTTGAGCCATGGCTGATGTCCAATCTTCTTCACGTAAACTGGTACTGATCCAACGAGACGAACGGGGCTTTGGATTTGGAATGATACGTTTTAATGATTTATTCATTTTTGGTCCAGCATCAGCAATGTATTTGCTGTGGAAGGCATAGCCTGATGAGTTGACCTCCTTAGCAAATACACCATCTTTTTTGAGTTCATCGAGGAATTTTATGATCGATTCTGGTGATCCTGAAATGGTGACATTGCTAGTGCTGTTATGACATGCGGCAACGATATCGGCTGGAGCACGTGCCTATGATAAACAAAAACAGAATTCCATTGAAAATCATTTTTCTCAAAAATTGAATAAAAAGTCTTACCTTTGTTTCTTCCCAAGTTAAACCAATCGAAGCCATCATACCCTTTTTCAAGTTTGTTTCCAATATGCTACGTCCTCTCCAATATGCAGCCAAAACGGTTTGTTCTGGTGTAAAGCAACCGTCCGCATAAGCACAACCTAAACGCAAATAATTCGGTTAATAAATAGCTATTATTAAGAGTTGTGATTATTTTTACCTAATTCACCGGTCGAATGTCCGATGATTCCATTCGGTGTGATTTCCAAGTGGGTTAAGACATCGGTGAGAGCAACTTGAATAGCAGCTATCGAAACGAATGAATTCAAAATATCATCGAATGCCGATTCATCACTTTCCATGAGAACTTTAACCAAATCAAAGCCCTCTGGACGCAAAGCATCTGCACAACGATTGATGCTGTTACGGAACACTTCCAAATGCATCAAATCCTTAGCCATGCCACTCCATTGAGATCCAAGTCCAGAGTAAATATACCAGACCGGGCGTTTGTCGTCGACCAATTCATTCACTTCGCGAACGGTCGTAATGTCACAATCAACAACAGCATAACCACGTGAGTAATGCAATGGAATGTTCTTTGAGTGGATTTTATTGACTAATCCGATGAATTCATCGTCAGTTTTGTTTTTTTCAATTTCATCCAGAAGCAAGTCGACAGCATCACTGGTACGACCGGAGAGTACAGCCAAACGTGGAATTGTATTTCTTGGTGTTAATACTTTTCGTTTTGTATTCGATCGAAGGATGAGATGGCCATTAGTGCCACCAAAACCGAATGAATTCAATGCGGCGATTCCACCGCTCCATGCTGTGTTTCGGTCGACAACTTTAAGGCGGCCATCAATAATACCTTGTAAATCGGGATTTGGTGATTTATAGTGCAAGTTCCCCGGAATAATACCGGTTTCCATTGCCAAAAGAACTTTAGCAATCGAACATACACCAGAAGCTGATTCAGCATGTCCCATATTTGATTTTACAGCGCCCATGAGCAATGGCGTTTTACGATTTTTGCAGAAAAAGTCAGTGATTGAATTCACTTCTTGTGTGTCACCGACTTTTGTACCAGTGCCATGTGCTTCAACATACACAACATCATTCGGATGCAATCCAATTTCGTTGTAAGTTTCACGCATCAATCGAGTTTGCATGTTACCAATGGGAAATGTGATGCCCTCCTCTTTGAAACCATCGGTATTTGTGCGAACATTCAAAATTGATGCATAAATACGACGAGCTTGGCTTTCCTTTTGCAAAAAGATAACCACACAACCATCAGATCGTACATAACCAGCTCCACTTTCGTCGAATGATTTGCATTTTCCATCGGCGCCCAACATACCCAAGTGTTTGAACTGCAATGACATCGTTGGCCTTAGAATAAGACCAGTTCCGGCCACAATAGCAGAATCACATTCGCCAGATTTTAAATGGGAGAACGCTAGTGACAATGCATAAAATGAGCTTGAGCAAGCGGTATCAATCGCACAACTTGGTCCTTTGAAATCAAAACTGTACGAAATTCGATTGGCACACATAGCCCGAGCGCAACCAGTTACACCATAACCATTAGCCGGATCGGGATTTCCGCACCAATACTGTTCAACTTCGGCGCTTTGAACACCAACGTACACACCAGTACGGCTGCCACGCAATTCATTCGGATTGACACCGGCATCAATGATCGCTTCGTGTGTTAATTCGAGCAACATTCTTATTTGTGGGTCCATGCATTCGGCTTGTTTTTGATGCACACCGAAATATTGTTGATCGAAACTTTCCATATCTTCATCCTTCATTTTACCAATTCGTGTTGGTAAATCGTACAAACCATTTGGCCAACGACGAGGATCATCATTTACCATGTCAACTCCATTGAATAAATTCTCTTTGAATTCTTGGATATTTGAACTTTCTGGTAACCGTCCGGAGAAACCAGAGATCACAATTTCATCGGGTAATTTTTTATAATTGTATTGAGGGTTTTCCATGTCCATTGGAATCTCGGTGTGTTCTCCTAAGGCAGGCATTTTTCTTTTAAACTTTGAATAAAACTTGTTTTTTGCCGATTTTTTATTTAATTTTTTGGTTTTTTTAAGTTTTCACAGAAAATGAAAATGATTTTTCACTGTTTTTTTTTTTCAAGATTTAAAAGATATTTTCTAATATTTTGATTAAAATGTTTTTGTATGAATACTTTCATTAATTTATCACGTACTAGACACTTTACGTAGCTGAAGAAGTATATATACGCTTTTTTTTCGGTTATAAAAGAACAAATATAATGTCTTTTACTGCGTCAATTGTCTGATTTTTATGATTTATTATTACGTCTGATTGCCGAAATCTGTGTTAACCAACGAATCTTCTTCGATCAAAATACATTAATGATCCCATCCAAATGCCCGGCCACAAATTCCAAACTGCAAAGTTTGCAATTTGAATTTCTTGTATATACTTACAGTGTCATAAACAATTGATATTTTTAACTTATAATACGCATTATTCGTTATGTCAAGATGAAAATATTTTACTGTTTTTTACTCACGTTAAATATCATAAAATATTTAAGTAAAGAGAATGAAAATGAAAGTTGAAAAAGAAAAATTGAGAAGATTCCACTAGATGTAAAAAATTTCAAGGCTATGTGAAATGGAGAACATTTACCTCAATTTTGACAAAAAAATGGTTTAAATAAACCAAGATGTAATATTGAATACCTCTTTAATTATCAAAAACACATTTTATTTTTTGTGACGTCAGTCATAAAATTTATTTCAAGATTTAACGACATTTTCATG